GGAAGGGGAACAGACAAGTTGCTGTCATTTTGTTCTTCAGTCTAGTTGTGGAGGACGTTGCTTCACTGGCCCAAGTTGGCACCATCATTGCGCTCTTCCCGGGCAAGGCAGATCAGTCGCCGGCTTCTGGACGGCCACTCACTGCGGCTTGAGGGCCGCTCATGCTGGCTGCTGGCTACACACGGTACCCCATGGCAACCCACCTGCCGTCGCTGGCAACTCATGGCAGCCCAGCTCCAGGTTGAGCTGTTGTTCAGCATCTTAGCTGTAGAGGGCAGTGTCATTGGCCCTCATATGTGGGATCCGAACCGGGGCCCTCTGGCATTCCAAGCCAGTTCTTAAACCAACGCGCCACTCGGCTGGCCCTTTTTTTTTTAAAGATTTTATTGGGGGAGGGCCGGCTGAGTGGCTCAGTTGGTTAAGAGCTCGCTCAAGAGTTTGAGCTCTGAGCAACAGGGGTTCGAGTCAGCCCGAGCTGAGCAGCCACTGAGCTGCCAACAGGTGGCAGGATGGCTCAGCTATAAAAAATAAAATAAAATAAAATAAAATAAAGATTTTATTGGGGGGCCGGTTGAGTGGCGCGTTGGTTAAGAGCTGGCTTAACCAACTCTTGAATTGGGGAAGGGGAACAGCGTTGGGCAATCGGGAAAATGAAACAGACAAGTTGCTGTCCTTTTGTTCTTCAGTCTAGTTGTGGAGGACGTCGCTTCACTGGCCCATGTTGGTGTTATCATTGCGCTCTTCCTGGGTGAGGCAGTCGCTCACCGACCATTGGATGGCCACTCACGGTGGCTCACGGCAGCTCATGCCAGCTGCCGGCCAGCTCCACTGCAGCCCACGCTATTGCCGGCGACTCACAGCAGCCCAGCTCCTGGTCGAGCTGTTGTTCACCATTATAGCGGTAGAGGGCGCAGTGTCACTGGCCCTCATGTGGGATCCGAACCAGGGCCCTGCTGCTCAGAGCTGGCATCCCAAGCCAACTCCTAAGCAGCGCACCACTCGGCTGGCCCACGGATGTCATCTCTTTTAAGTCACACTCAGAACCTGCCTTGGTTACAGAAGTAAGAACAGGCCTTGTTTCACGAAGTTGCAAATTGTCTACTATTCCTATACTGCATCCTATCTGGTCTCCACGTTTTCTTCCAATTACTCTCCTTCTTCCTACATGAGCCACATATAGTACTGTCTAAAAAAGTCACCATCATGACCAGGGTAGCCCCGCTAATGAAGGAATATGGTTCCACAACTGGGAACAAGGGAGGACATAGAGATCAAACATTGATTGACTGATAACTTCCTTTCCTTCTAAGATTAGAGAATGTCGCAGCTCAATGACATTAAGGATAAAAGATCTCCATTAATAGAAGAGGAAACTAGAAAGTTTCACACTGATTGGGCCAGCATGGTGAGCATTGGTGGCACACACAGCCCTGCACTAACAACAAAAGATCCAGTCCTGTTAATCCATCGAAAGATCTGACAGTCGCTAGGGCCTCATTTTCCCAAGGTCACAAGGCTTAGGGTCATCGAGATAGGTCCACTATCTACTACAGGTTACTTGTCAAGAGAGAAAGAAAGAAAGAGAGAAGGAGGTGGGAGGGGGGCGGAGTGAGAGAGAGAGAAAGAGAGAGAGAGAGAGAGAGAGAGAAAGAAAGAAGAAGATAAAAAAGATGAAATAACCTACTACGTCTCCCAAAGTAATGCTCATCCCTTCAGAGAGAGCTGATTTTCTCTGGTAAACAGTATCAGTGCCAGAGAACAGCCTTCCAAATCCCCTCTGGAGTATCCTCTTGCAAGGGAGGGGAAGTACCCAAGATGTCCCTGTTCATATTCTCAGGTAAGGAAAACAAAACAAAACATTATTGCTGGTACTCACATCAGAGGACGATCAAAGCCACCAAAGACTCAGGTCAGGTACAAAGACCACTGCGATGGGGAGGGGTGGTGTCAAGGCTGCCTAGGGCAAGTTGGAGAATGAGAGTAATAATTAAACAAGTAGTCCTAGGTATATGCTTGTGTACACTCACGTGACACCAAGGCAATAACTTAGAAAGGGAAGTCTGCCTTGCCTTTTCCACAAAAGAATGAACAGGCTAGAGATGGGTAGATTGTAGGAGTGATGCTCTGAATTAACCATTCATCTGGCATCTCCTTAGTCAAAGTTCTTAACTGAGTTCTTCCTCCAACGATCTGAAGCAGGCATGCAGGTAGCAGATGTTTAAAAAAGTACTTTGATGGGGGTGGGGTGGTCCGGTTAGCTCAGTTGGTTAGAACATGGTGCTGATAACACCAAGGTTGCCAGTTCGATCCCCGCATGGGCCACTGTGAGCTGCGCCCTCCTTAAAAAAGTCAACTATGCCATTGTAGCATGAAAGCAATGTGTAACCAATGACCATGGCTGTTACCACATAAAAATTTTTTTAAAAGTACTTTGGTTGAATGCATAAAAAGCTAAGGATCATTCAGAGTAAAATATGCCTTCATTCCAATGATCTTAACTAGACTGCAAAACCTGCTGGTAGGAAGAGGGGCAAAGCCAAAAAACCTAGATGAAACTATTAATGCAGTCATGTGCCGATTAATGACAGGGATATGTTCTGAGAGATGTATCATTAGGCGATGCCGTCATTGTGCAAACATCATAGAGTACACTTCTACAAACCTAGAGGGTATAGCCTGCCACACACCTAGGCTGTATGGCATAGCCCAAGGGTCGGCAAACTTTTGAGACAAAAGAGCCGCCAGGGGTCAGCAAACTGCAGCTCATGAGCCGCAGGCTCTGAAGTCAAATTGAAAATGAAAATAAGGGCTGGCTGAGTGGCTCAGTTGGTTAAGAGCTTGCTCAAGAATGCAAGCTCT